TGTCATCATTGAGAGATGATGATATGAGACATACTTGACCTAGGCATGAACTTACTCTCCCTTGGAGGCACTAGAGGATTGAGTTCATTCCAAGGAAGGTGTTCATTGTGGACACTGACTGTCAAGGGTGCATTGTGATTTCATTACAAGCCAAGGAGCACATGCTGTGATGATTGCTGTTGTTTGGTAGAAGCATGCAGCGTGTTACCTGCAGTTGTCAAAATGTCATTAGTTGCAGATTTGGTGGCTCGCATGGCAGGAATAGGACAGGCCTATCATGGCTTTTGTGCTGACATCAGGAATTGGCTCCCAGTTCCTTCTCCTCCTCTGCTAAGCTCATTTCCTGTCATTTGCAGCTCTGGGCCCCTCTCCCACGCTGTGAGCCAGTGTGCCAGGTACACAGCTGCTGGCCTGCTCTCAGCCTCCTGCAGCTGCTCCGGCACCAGGGTCCCAGAGCAGGAAGGATGCTGCAGGACTCTGGTGCTGCATGGGCAGTGTTTTTCCAGAGACATGTTGCTATGTGTAAAGTTGCTTGGTCTCAAACTGTGGGCAAATCCTGGGACTCGTTGTCTGGAAGGGGGCAGAGAAGAGGGCAAAGGGATTGAATTAGGTCACTGACTAGGGTGGTTGTGCACACAACAGAGCCCTGCTGAAAGCATATTTTCCAAGTACAGGTGAGTGCCACCCTGGGTTAGGTGGTGTGCTTGTATCATCCTTCCTGTCACCCAGCATGTGGGCTCCCTTGTGCACAGGGTAATGAAATCTTAGAGGTTTGTGATATTTGGCAACAGAGTTTGTGGTAAAAATGGAGTCAGTGGGACTTCAGTTTACCTCAAGCCCTATAGGCATAGGTGTTTATATCATTTAAATCACTTGAAATAATAATTGTCCAAGCACAGTATGGGTAACAAAACAGAGAGCAGTTTTCCTGGGAGGAATTTGTGCATGTTTTCCATTAGCAGTCATACAGGGGCCAGAGCAGAGGAAAAGGCATGAGAGCAGCCTTTTGCCATGACCTCACTAGGAGATTTCCCAGCTCTAAGCTCAGCTCTGTGGCATGGCTGAACAAGTGGAATAAAGCACAGCCAGTTCCAGGCTACTGGTTGCTTTACTGGTGTCTTATTTTTGTTGTATAGTAAACTGTCTGAATAAGGGTTCTTGGGGTCTAAAAGATCCAGATGGAAAGACAGGCACATATTTATAGTCTGTGGGCGGAGACAGCAGCCTCAAGACATGTTTTGATGTACAGATGGTGCTGTACAGATGTTGTACAGATGCTGTACAGATGCTGCATACGTGGCCAGTGAGTCCTGTGCACTCCAGATGCATCCAGCTTGCCGTGTGTTTGTGTCAGGGTTAATGGATGGTGGAGGTGCTGGGCTCTGTCTGCAGAGTCAGCTGGCACGTGTGTGTGTGTCTGTTTGCTCAGGTGTTTCCAGCATCTGAAGATTCTACACCAGTCTCTGACTTTTGTTTTTTGCTTTCTCTGCCTCATTAAAGCTTCTGAACACGGAGAAGAAAACAGGCAGGGGTGAAACCCCACAAAGTGAAGAATAGAGCTGGAAATCTTGGTTGCACTTCCATGAGCTTCTTTGTACAAGTCCTGTTTCCTGCTCAAACTCAGTATAGTGCCTGGGTGAGAGAGGAGTTTGAATGGGGCACCCTAGCCTGTAGTCTCTTACTTCTGCAAAGGCTGGGGTTTCCTGAAGTGAAGCCTTTGACAAGAGCAGTTCAAGGCATTCCCCACTGCTCACCTAATTGTGATGCCAAAGCAGAGGCAGCCCTGTGTTGCGGTGTGGGAGAGGAAATGAGTTGCAAGGGAGGGTGAAAGCCTGTTAAAGCAGTGCTGCCACCAGAGACTTCACCTTGCAAACCCACAGTGTTCCTAATGCGTGTCTGTGCTGTGGTGGGTGACAGCAGCCAGTTAGGGGGTGCTGAAAGGGATCAAGAGGAGAGACAGGGTCCTCTGCTCTTCCTGGCTGCTTGGGTAGGCAGTGCCTTGCTCCAGTTAACATGGCTGTAGGCTTGTGAGCAATCCCTTGGGCTGTGGGATCACAGACTAAGACTAACTGAAAACCACAAGGCCATCTGTTAACTCTTAAAAACAGAGACTTAAGATAAATGAGGGCCTTACAAACTTTGTGGCTATTGCAGAAGAAATGACAGGGTTCAATAGATATATATGCACACATTCAAGCAGTTACTGTGTATTTGGACTGTGGATGTAGGAAAAGAAAGGCTTTAGCCCAGCCAAACTGAATTCCCTGTACAGGGAATTCATGTAAGGTCAGCAGCTTTAGATCCCAAAGCTGTGCATCTGTAATCATTAAGTACATATATAGGAAGCTGTATCATTTACTGTCCATCCTACGCTGTCTGCCTTTTGGTTTTGAAATTACTAAAAGCTGCAGTAAGAAACAGTGTCAGATGTTACAAGTCATCTGTGCCAGTTTCCAAGTCAGAGCGTGGGTTTGCATGGCTGGTGCCTTTCCAAGAGCTGGAAGGAGGAATATACCAGGGCTGGAAATTCCTGGTGAATGCCAGAAGCTGTAAAACCTCCCACTGGGTGATCTGTGACAGTGTGACAGGCTGACGGCCTTGTTGGACTTTTCTTGCTGCAGCATAAAAAGGCAGTGTGGAGCTGCAGATGCTCTCTCTGATTACTAATGAGAGAAAATCCTAACTGCTTGGCTGGTTTTCCTCAGGAGATGAATATTCAGTGTTGTTGGTGAGGTATTTTTTTCTTCTTACCCTCCCCCCCCACTCTGATCTGAATGTCTTCATTTGTTTGAAAGTATCCCTCTTCCTAGTTTCAACAGTAAATGCTTATTTGGGAAAGGGTCTGAGGTGGAAGGCATATTCAAGAGAGAGCGGTTGAATGCTGAATCCTGGGTGGGTCAGCAATGAGGTGTTTCCTGCAAGGTGAGAGCTGCAGTCGGGCAGTCTCTGCTCTGCTGTGTCAGTATTTATGCAGACAGGATCAGGACTAGCAGGAGAAATGGAGGCACCCCATGGCAGCTGGCACCGGGGTGGCTAGATCTGTTTTCTCTGATGTGGGCTATTGCAGGGTGACAGCGTGTTTCTAATTTCTAACATCACAGGTGGGTGTCTGAGCAGTGGGGCTGTTGGCAGCTCTTTTTTTTAGGGAAGATGAAAACACCTTTTTTGAAAGGTTTGAACTTTGTTCAAATGTGGGATGGGAACATGTTTGTGGAGGGGCCAAAGCAGATCCACCCAGGCCTGCTCACACCCAGCAGTTAGGAAAATGAAGGGTGCTGGTCTGCAATTGAGGTCTGTAATGTCAAGCACAACCCAGCTAATACACAGTCTGAGGACCCATGCAGATGAGTTAATTCATGTTTCCAGCCTTTCAGAGAATTTCCATGCAAAGCTACCTGACTCTCATGTACACTGGTCAAAGCAGGATACACAGCTTATATGCCTGCTGGTATGCTCTGCTTCAATGTCAAGAGGGAGTGAGCTGTACCAGGGTGCGGTTGTATGTGCTGGCAAAACCAGGAAAATAAAGGACTGTCAAGCAATAGAAGGGCTTGTGCAACCAGGCTCCTTTTGTGGGACAACCTTCAGGTAAACCTGGTTGCTCCAGAAACAATCCCCATTTTATTTAAAGCTGTAATTGGAGGAGAGCTGACAGCTTCAAAGTCACACTTTCATCTGGAAAGTTTGCATGGGATTGTATCTTGTCGGTAACCAGCAACAAGGACTGGTGCAGACTGAAACTGTTCGTGGATGTTATCCCTACACTGCATGTTTGATTGTTCTTTCTGTATGTTTATCTTTTCAGTAGGGAGATAGAGATGCACTTAGTTTAACGCAAGTTTAGTATCTTGAACTGATACACACAAGTGATTCTCACAGGCTGCTTTGCAGATTTTTAGTTTTGGTAGTTTTGATTTATTGGATCTTTTTCTGCTCCAGCTTTTTGCTTTTTGTTTTGTTTTAGGGTTTTTATGGGGTTTTTTTTTGGTTTTGATTTTGGCTTGGTTTGGTTTACCAGTGGAGCTTGTTGAGTTTAATAATCTCTTAGGTATTTCATTTTCATCTGTGTATCCTGCTCCTTAGAAAAGATGCATGAGTGTGGAGGTGAAATGATGACTGGGTTAGAAAAAGTAGGTTACAAAGATCAGAAATAAAAAGGCTGCAAGGGGGATGGGGGATTTTGGGGTACATTCATATAACCTGTACATTCATATAACCTGTGCTGTATTTCCCTGAGCCTGCTAGAGCAGGGGGAACTTACAGGTGCCCTGCACGTTATACATATGAAATATGGTATTACAGTTGAAGGTCCCACACTGGGCAATTCAAAATTAGAAACATTGTAATGTATCATTCTGGACACTGGACAGCACATTTCCACTTTAATCCCTTCTGCAGCACTGTGATAATTCAGTGATTAGTGCATATATATATACACACACACAAAGTTGTTTTGCACTTGAAGAACGTGATACTGAGAAATCTTCTTTGGGCTGCTCACTGCACCTTACATGCAGAGAAATAAAAGGCTGCCCTCAAAGCCTTTTGTTTAGCTAGTGTTTTGTTTTTTCCTCTTATCTGTGGATTGTGGTGTTTGGGTTCTTTCTTGGGTTCTTTTGCTGTGTATTGACAGGAAAAAGGATGAATCATGGTATTTGGAAGCAGAAAACAGGCTGTTTGATTATCACTGCTGGGAATGCTGTGTAGTGAAACTGTGGGTGAGGGCGTAGGTGGTTCTACTTCTGCTTGTCTTGCAACTCTTAAATATGATCATAAACAACTGAATCTGGTTTTAGGCTTGCAACTCTGCTTGTAACTACACCCATCTCTGTTTGGGGTACATGCTTTGTCATCAGTGTGGGTTAAAAGACATTTCCGGGAGGCATGATATTTGAGGTTGTTCCACACCTTCATGAGTGGCTGCTTCTGGCTGCTGAAATGTGTGTACACATGGAAGTGTGCTTTTGTCTGCACTCATAATCTCTCTACTTTGTTTCTAGGGCTCATCACAATAAAAGAAGCCCATGATATAGAAGCCAGACTTAATGAGGTGGAAAAGCTTTTGAAGACTATTATAAACATGCCATGGAAGGTGAGTAAGCCAAGTTCCACATTTAGCCCAGCTTGACTCCTCCTTCATGGTGACGTGCACTTTCATGCAGATAGAAAGTGATGGGCTTTGCCAAACTCTGGAAAAAAGCAGCAGGTTATTGAGTATCTTGAAGAAGTGGCGAGTGCCAGAACTGTGTGATGATGTCTCCAAGCTATTGCTTGTAATAAGTCTTCCTTTTGTACTGAGAAAGGGTAGAAAGAGAAAAGAGGACAAAACAAACTACTGGCAAAAAATGGGTGTCTGTTTCTTTCTGTCTTTTAAGTATTCAAGATCTGAAGTTGTCCTCACATTCTTTGAGAGATCTCCTTTGGACCAAGTTCTAAAAAATGACAACGTCCATAAAATTCAGCCAAGCTTTCAAAGTCCAGTTAAAATATCAGGTAAGAGTTCTTAGCTTCCTACGGTCTACACAGGAATTACAGAATGAAAATTATTTTTTCTTCCCTTTATGTTTTCTCCATCAGCAATTCCAAAGTTACTTTGCTTTATGATATAGAACATAAAATTAGACATGATGTACTATGCAACATGCATTCAGGCAATAAAATGGCAGGTGAAATCGAAGGCTGATTAAGGCAAAGAAGTGGATGTGAGGAAAATGCAGTCCTCACTGTCATCATGTATGATAGTGCTGTTACCACCTTGGAAAGAAATTTTGAGGCTATTGATACAGTTCAGTGAAAATGTAAGCTCAGTGCCAAGTGGTGAGCAAAACCAGCAGTGAGAATGCTTGGTATCATTAGGAAAGGAGCACAACCCCATCTTGAATGCAGCGTGCGCAATTCTCTTTTCTCCATCTCAAAAAGGATACTAAAGAATTTAAAAGCATGCAAATAAAGGACAAGGATTCAAATCATTTAACAGCTTCTCTAAGAAAAAGGTTAAACAAGGAAGGACACTTCAACTTTGAGAAGAGATGACAGAGTGGGGATATGATGGAAGTCTACAAAGCTGTGAATAGAAGGAGGTCAATTAGCCTGTACTTCCCATGAAACAAGAGCTATAGGTTCTCCAATAATGTTGACAGACAACAGGCTTTAAACAGAAGAAAGAAAGGTTATAATGTTGTTTTGTTTCCATATGGAACACAGTTGAGGAGTGGAACTCATTGTCATAGCATATGGTGGAACTGAAAGCATGAATGACTTCAAAAAGGAGTTAGACAAGCAAGTGGAGGAAAAGTACATTGCGACTTGTCACAGGTGGAGGCATAGAAAGTTTCTAAACCACAGATTGCTAGTGGGTGAAATGGAGAGCAGTATTACTCTATCCTTGCATATTCTTTCATTTTTTTCCTTCTTCATCTGCTACTGACCACAGTTTAAAAGTTTGTGAGCTTTAGGCATGCTTGGTTTTCTGTTTCTATGCTGAAACATTTTGTTTGAGCCTAATGGCAACTGCTGGTTTTGTGTCATCAAAAGAGCTTATTTCAGAGAGAGAAATAAAGTGAAACACTACATTGTCCTCTAAAGTGCATAAAGTGTTTAGCATAAAACTAGTATCCATTTTCTTAGGTACTAACAGTGTATCAGTAATGGCCAATCAGGGTGTCAACATGCTAAAGACATAAACAGTGTGTCCAGAAGGGTTGGTCTTATAGACAGGGAAGACATGTTGTAATTGACCCCAAGCTCTAGTTCTAAGTGAACTAGTCCTCCATTAAATAAATACTCTTTAAATTAAATGACAAATGGTTTACAAGCCCACCAGTGACTCCTTAGAAGTGTACTGCATAATACAGAGCCTCAGTGAGAAGTATGGTCTTGCCAGCCTGTCTGGGCCAGTGTCGTCTTGTAGGGCCATCCTGAGCCCAAGCTACAGTGCCTCACAGGGATTGTAAAGAAAAGTTCCCAGGGCTGTACTGCAAAGTGGGGTGATACAGGTCTGGCTTCCCGGAACAAGAGACAGGAGCTGACATGCGTGCCTCATGCCCCGTCTGTGGCTTGGGAGGTTTGGATGTTGCCTTAAGTTAATGTGGAAACCTCAGGTAAAATTCCTCATGTGTGTGTTCCTGACATTAGTCATCTCCCAAAGGGTGAATGTGGTTACTTGTTTTGCTCCTGAACACCAAGATGTGCTCTTAGCTCTGACCCTGAAGATCATATTCATTGGTTTTGTCTGAAATATGTTGCTACTCTGTGAGACTGGAGCTGCAAAGTGGGTTCTAGCACCTGCCCATTATGAAATTAAAGATTCCCAAATTATATGCTGTAAAAATGTTTCAAAGGGTGGCTGCTGTCAGTGGCACCTTGCAGGGTTTATTTGTTTGTTTTCTAACAGGTAAATATCAAGAATAAATGTTTTTGGAATTACATTGGTTAGAAAATAACATTACATGTATTTGGAATTGCAGCATTGTTCTGGCTCAGGGCTTTTTGCTGTTTGGAAGGGTTTAATACAATTTTGGGGAGGGTGTGTACCCCTTAGGGCACATGTACTCTGTGTCTGTGTGACTGAATATGTCATATGATGGGTACAACAGAGAAAAGATGGTCAAAGTGTATCATAGACTCATAGAACAGTTTGGTAAGGGGCCTTAAAGCTCATCTAGTTCCAACCCCCTGCCATGGGTAGGGACACCTCCCTTGCTCAAAGCCCCATCCAACCTGGCCTTAAACACTGCCAGGGATGAGGCAGCCACAGCTTCGCAGGGCAACCTGTGCCAGTGCCTGACCACCCTCATAGTGAAGAATTCTTTCCTAGTATCTAATCTAAATCAGAACAAGGGTACCTGGCTGATGGACAGAACCTAGCAGCAAAGGGAACAGACCTGCAAGCCTGTATATAGAGGAGCTGTGGAAACCATTTTAGCTGAATAATTACATGTTTTGTTTTAATTCTGAGTTAGTTTTGGTAGAAATGAGTCATAATTAATTAATTGAAGATTTCCCTACCTATGCAGCTATCCAAAAGCATCTTTTGGTAATTAGTTTTATCATTTAAGCTATTGCTGCAAAGAACATAGGCAGAAATTTGATGATAATTCGTATTTGACGGGCCTGCATGTTGCGCGCTGGAAATGGTTTCGGTGTCTGCAAGCGCCGTCAGTAGATGGCGGTAGATGTTAGCATCTGAAGCCGTTGACTCAGCAGTGAAATGCTGTAACTCTTAGGTGATGTCGAGGACGCCAGGGAAACACTGGCATTCATGTTAGTCAGAGTGCAGCTTCCTACGTGGCTTGCAGACTTAGAAAAGCAGCCAAAAAGGTCTTGTGTTTTCTGAAGAAAACCCAAACTGTCCCGCACGTGGTCCTGCTTAGGATGGTAGGTAATGGGGAAGAAACGGCCACCCTCTCGGGTGGAAAACTGAATTTGAATTGATAGTACAAGTCTTATTCTGCAGTACAGTATTGGTTTAAAATGAGTTATGGGTGAAGAGTGATTCTGGTGGGATTTAGTGTTCTTACCACCCCTGAACATATTCTGCTAAAGTGAGTCCCAGTAAAATACAGACTGTAAGTCAAAGATGACTTTCTCAAGAAACACATTGAAGTGAGTTCTGATTTTACTTTAATTTAGGAACATGTAATATACATTTGAAAAGATAATCCCCCCTTCTTCTTCCTGTCTTATCTCCTGCTCATTACTTGAACTCATTACTTACAGTTGAAATTTGTTTGAGGATTCCCTGTATGTGTCTTGTGTCTATCATATTTTTTGTCACAGAGTAATTTCCTTTTGTTTGTGCTGATAACAAGGCTATAACACAGGGTTCTCATGCCTTGAGACACTTACTTAAGTCAGTGCTGATTTGTGTAGAGATGTATGTTCATTTTGTGGTGGCCCCAGCTTCATCTAAGGTTGTGTGAGCAAAATAAATCCTTGTGGCTTGCTTAGTTTGCCTTTCCATCTAGCATAAATGTGGATTGACTTCTCATTCACATCAAATACTATTCTTTAATTATAAACTCTCCCGATGGTAATAAGTCAGTGGAATTAAGTGTAAGTTTTAGCTATTCTTGATTGAAGACTTCTTACACAATGAGAAACAAATAAGAAGAGTTGAAGGCAGTATAGAAGATGGTATTGCTTTACATGATGGTGGTTGAATTAACTTGGAAGATCACTTTTTATTTCCTTTTTCCTGTCTTTTTGATTCTTACTTAATTGGCTTAAGCCTGGGACTGTCCAGCAAAAATACAATTATGTTTTGGTAGTGGCAGGTTGCAATGTATGGATGGGCTGCCATTCTGCTAAGGGTGATGGGAATTTTGCCACTGGCAATAACAGCTGAAACTGGGCCTCAAACTGATTATTTACATACAATTGCTTAAGCACTGGCAGCTTGCAGATGTAAGCAGCTGTGAAACCAACTCTGTTTATTCCTGCTTTCATGTGCAGATCTTCAATGTCACACACACACACATCTCAGTTTCTAACCATGTCAGTTACATATGATATGCAGTTGTTTTCCAGGGTAGTGTGGGTTTTGTTTGTTTTTTTTTATTATTATCATCTTGTTTCTTTTCTTCTCCTGGCAGAAATCATGCGATCAAATGGATTTTGTTTAGCCAACACTGAAACAATAGTCATTGACCACAGTATACCCAATGGAAAAGAGAAGCACCTGGATGTAGATTCAGCAGAACACTTGTAAGTGGGGTTTGTGCATCAATAATGCTGTCAGCTTCAGATAAACTGAATCTTTTCTCCCCACGACCCCCCCCCCCCCCAGCAAAATGTTATCTTCTGTTTAGCAGTAAGACAGGTACAGCTGTCATTCTGACTGGTTAAATATTACTGAGCCTGATTGCTAAGGCTTCACAGCTCTTTCTGTTAAAATGGATATGGTGGCTGCTGGTGAGAACGATTGACACCAAGGAGCTCAGTCCTCTGTGTATGAAAAACAGCTGTGACTGGCATAGGTGTCCTGCCAGGTGAGAACAGAGGAGTTTTTTCTTTCTCTCATTGAGCTCCTGACAAACATCCTTACAAATGGAATATCCTAAGACAAAAAGTTTGCTTTATTTGGGAAGCAAAACACCATGCTGAAGAGGGACACACATCCCTGAACGTAATCAAAGGAAGCTCAGCAGCTGCTCAGGTGCTGTGATGGAGAGACTTGGTGAAGCATGTATATTTCATTATGGCAGGGGGAAGTTAGACTAGTCTTATTTGTATATTCTGTCTCCTAATGCATGTAGGTATTCTGGGGTCAGAGACCTGTAACCAGGAGGGCTTTTATGTAGGTCGTAAGTTAATGACTGTGTTGACAGATGTGTATTGATGGGAGTCTGCTCCTACAGATTTCTGTCATAGCAGGTGATTGATATTTCAATAAGCTTCAGGTAGTGAAGCATTTAAATATTTTTAATGAGAAACACTGACCTACTTTTTCATTAGAGCAGTCAAAATGATGGAAACAGAATACTAAAAGCCTTATGGGGGCTTTATCTTTGAATGCGGTGCTTTGTCTTGCCACAACTGAAATGTGACTATTGCCAATCTGTGGAAAGGTTTATAGCTTGACAAGATTTTGTCAGGGGTTGGAGTGTATCTCTGGCTCCAGTGTAATTTCTTGAAGTCTTTCTATTAATTTAGCACTTAGTGTTTTGAACCTTGACCTTGCTAACAGCATCTAGGATTACGAGCTTGTATTAATGAGGCTGAAGCAACACACTGGAGGTAATTCTGTAAGGCCAGTGTCTGGAAATTAAAGTTGCTGCAGCCCAAGCAAACCTTACTGGTCTGAATCAAAACCTGCCATTATCTGAAACTGTCACCCCGTTGAAGTCAGAGACTATTAAGGGCAGAAAATACTAATATAAAAACTGTGTGGTAGGCATGGTTTCCCAGGAACTGCAGTGGAAGAAATAATCTAGGAAAACAGCCTGGCTTTGTGCATTTGTATTTTATCTTCCCTGAAGGAAGTTAAATCAAGAGTAAAGAAGTTAATAAGTTTTAAATGCCTATTTTACATGGTTCCCTAAATTTGCCCATCCTGTAGCTGTACTGTGTCGTTGAGGTAATAGCTAGGAGATAATAGCATTTGTGTAGCACAGCTGTTCTGTAAAAATTGAACTTTTTAAAAAGCAGAAGTTTTCTATGCTGTTACTTTTGGTGTAGGTTAGTAGACTAGAAACGAAGCTTTAAAATCTTTTAAGATCTCATGCAGTTCCTTTTTGGAGTACGTAAAATTGGATTTACAGGGTTGGTGTCTTCTATTCTGAAATAAGTCGATTCCTAGTGAACTTGTATATCTTCAGATGGGGACCTTTTCCTTTCATCAGCATTGAATGCTGTGTGACTTCTATGTTTTGTCTGCTGATGTACTTGAATCAGACATTTTGCAAAACAAATCTGTATTTTTGGGGGAAGCACTTGAAGTTCCAACAGGTAGTATTCGTTCCCCGATGTTCTGCTGCACTGCTTAGCTGTTCTAGTCTGCAGTGCTACCTACCCAGTGATCCACCAGCTGAAAAGTCTCATACTTCTTGCAAAAGAAACTATAACATTTTTGCAACTGAAATTGCTTACTCTTGTTCTGAAGTAGTTGCTTTCTTCTTCCTTCATTTTCTCTCTAATTTTAGTTGGCAGTACACTGTCCTGTTGGAAAAATGTGGTGAACCCAGTGTGCTCAACATCCATGGGGTATAAATAGTCCTTTTATGTGTGGTTCTTGGAGTCCTTGGTATTCCTTTTGAAAGGAAAGGTGGTAAATTACTGGTTGGATGGCAGAACCCAAAAAGTGCTGGTAAATGGTGTCACATCTATTTGGTGACTGGCCACTAGTGATGTCCTCAGGGCTTGGTATTAGGGCTGGTGTTGTTTAATATCTTCATTGATGATCTGGATGAGGGGATTGTGTGCACCCTTAGTAAAGTCACAGATGACACCAACTTGGGTGGGAGCACTGATCTGCTGAGGGATAGGAAGGCTCTGCAGAGAGATCTAGACAGGCTGGATGGCCTGTGGCCAATGGGCTGTGGCCAGTGGTAAGAGGTTCAAGAAGGCAAAGTGCCGGGTCCTGCATTTGGGCCAAAACAACCCCATGCAATGCTACAGCCTTGGAGAAGAGTGGCTGGAAAGCTGCTCAGTGGAATAGGACCTGGGAGTGCTGATTGACAGCCGAAGAGCATGAGCCAGCTTGTGCCCAGGCAGCCAAGAAGGCCAAGAGCATCCTGTCCTGTACCAGAAATAGCGTAGCCAGCAGGGCCAGGGCAGTGATCGTCCCCCTGTACTGGGCACTGGTGAGGCCAGACCTTGAATACTGTATTCAGTTCTGTGCCCCTCATTACAAGAGAGACATTGAGGTGCTGGGGGGGATCCAGAGAAGAGGGCTTCTACCAGTGAATCTGGTGAAGGGTCTGGAGCACAAGTCTTATGAGGAACAGCTGAGGGAACTGGGGTTGTTTAGTCTGGAGAAGAGAAGGCTCAGGGGAGACCTTATTGCTCTCTACAACTACCTGAAAGAAGGTTGTAGTGAGGTAGGTGCTGCTCTCATCTCCCAAGTAACAAGTGACAGAATGAGAAGAAATGGCCTTAAGTTGTGCCATTGATCCAGCCTATCTAGATCCCTCCATAGAACTTTCCTACAGTCAAGCAGATGAACACTCCTGCCTAACTTGATAGTGTCTGCAAACTTACTAAGGGTGCACTTGATCCCCTTATCCACATCATAGATAGAGGTATTAAATGGAACTGGCCCCAGTATTGAGCCCTGGGGAAGACCACTTGTGACCAGCCTCCAACTGGATTAAACTCCATTCATCGTAGCTCTTTTGGCCTGGCAATCCAGACAGTTTTTTACCTGGCAAAGAGTAACCTGTCCAAGCCATTAGCTTCTGTGTACCTTGCTTCCCTCTTCTTCCTGGTGAATAAGAGCAACAACTCCAATGCATTAACAGGGATTAAAAGGATAAGGAAGGTTATCTTACAGCACAAGAAGCATCTGTCAGGGTACTTTGGGGAAAAAGTAGCAAGGGTTTAGGCATTTAGGAATCTGACTGTCCATAGTAGTTTGCAAAGTTCATTTTGCAAAAAAGACCTATTTGGAGCAGTACACAAGCATTTTGACTGTTGGGTGTCCTATACAGCCTCTAGCTATAGTAGACAGTCCTGGTTTATTTGGTTTGGTTTCATTTGAGCAATCTAGAGCAGTGCTTTGCAGACTCTGTGACCATGCTTCCTTTTTGGTGGCAAGGAAGGCTTTCTGAGTAACCACAGCATCTGAATGCAGCTGCTTTGTACCTCACATGCCACTTGTAGTACCCGATCAGTGAGGCTGAAGAACCACAGAATCTGTGTGCCCTTCCTGTTATTATAATCTGCTTTTATACAATTGACAACAGAAAGAGAGCAGAATCTGAATAACTTTCTTGACTCCTCTTCTGCTTTCTTCTGTCTGCCTCACTGATAATCATAATCTGTTGTTTCTGGATCACTAGCAGTCCTTAAGACAGCACAACGTGACCTGTGAAGTATTTGCAAGATGATACCAAGTCAACTCCCTTGCGCATGTGTTCCCACACATGCAGGCAGGCAAATAGCCTGGGGGCTGTAGAGGAATGAGTGTAATAAACATTCAAAGTTTAGCCTCATTTCTGTTTCATTGTAAGTAAAGAGCATAGCAACAGCACTGAAGGAGAAAATCAGTGCGTTTCTGCTCAAAAACGTTGTGACCCTCATAGTTAAAAAAGAGGTGCAGAATGAATGCCATTTCCATCAAAATATTAAAGAGAGAGTGTGAGAAAAAGAAATCTCACAGTTCTTCAAGTCCTTTGCTTGAACTGAGCTGAGATTTAACCCTTGGCCTGCAGTGACTGCCTTTCACTGCTAGGCTATCTAGGAAGATGTAAGATGCCTTCTTACTCCAAAAATTTAAGCCTCCTTGGAACAGGAATGGTGTAAGTGAGGAAGGTTTAACAAGTTGGTGCTTTCTGGTTGAGAACAGGCATGAGACCATAGGTAATTCTTACGGAAGTTCAGGTTTTAACACAGGAGTTAGGAAGTGGGAAGAAAAATACCAAAGCAAGTGAAAGTAAATGTGTGAATCTCTCTATATTTGGATAGTCTCTGCTTGTCAAAACCTGAATCTTGTGCCACTGGGAGGACAGTGAGGCTCTGGAGGAAGGAAACTGTAATAATTGTTTCCTATTTGACCTCATACATTTGACATTTGACCTCATACAAAAACCAAACCCAGAGAAGACACTTCACTACCTGTGAAGTGAAAGGGTGAGAGTCAAGTTCAGACCGGAAACAGTGGCAGTTTCCTTTCCACTTTTATGTGGGAACTGAGTCGTTTTGTGTTGTTGCTACACACTGTGAGAACAAAATGGAAGGATGTGTATCTCAGCTGCATGATTCAGTCTTCCAGGGCTCACTTGCTGCTTCTTCCCTTCCTCACTAGTAGATTTGAAAGCCAGCGGTAACAAGATGATTTGCTTGTGTGCATTATGGTTCTCATTGGCCCGTGGCTTATTCATATACACATGGGTGTGGGAAGGAGGAGGTGCAGATGGGACCAACTCTGAGTACTTTCCGTGAAGATTTTCCCATTCCACAGAGAAAACTATTCTGGACTCATAAAAATCTCATTGTAGCGGTATCCAGAATTGCCAGACAAGAAACGCTGTCCCAGGAAATTATTCCTTTGTTAGTAGGAAGGGAGCCCTGGGGGCTGAAAACAAATTAATAATGTTTTTAATCTGGCTCATCTTAAATGCAGTGTGGTTAACAGTGAGATATGAAGTTCAGGTATTATAATAACAAGTGCTGTGAAGAGTCAGTGTAATACCAGAAAGGAGTCACAAAAGTCCCTTTTACTGAAGACTTGCTATCTGAAGAGAAGAAAACTTGCTCTCCTAGTATGCTTTGCAGCTGTGTTTCAGCACAGTTTTAAGTGGGAATAGTCATCCTGTTTTACTGAAAGCAAAATCTTCAGCTTATTTGTTTCCGTAGATTATAAAGAAGCAGGCTTTCTGTTTAAGGCCATGCAGAGCAATGTTTTCCATTTACTTCTCAACTCTCTCTAGAAAGGTTGAGCCTTAATTTATGAAAGTGACAGGAGATGCCATTGCAGGTGTGTCCTAACTTAATGATAGGTAGGCTGATGTCAGAGAAACTATAGCTTCATGATTCACAGTTGATCTGCATGAATCTTAATTGACAACTTCTAGTATGAATTCGCATGTCAGGCTGCCAAAAGACAGAGTGAAAGCTGAAGCTTTGGAGAAAGAGTTAGGACTCTAGAACTTTGTCTTGCAAGCTGAGCTTCACAAAGCTGAAGCTGCAAACCAGCATTAGAAGCACTTCTACTGCAACACTGCTCTGGTGTGAAACAAGTCCACGTTTCATTTACTCAGAATATTAACATGTAGTACCAGCTGCTATGCAGCATTCCTGCCTGCAGCTCTTTTCCCAAGTAGTCCCTTTGCAAATGTCTTTTCTCAAAATTTCCAGGCGTCAGTCTTCAGATAACCTAGACTTCTCCCTTTCCCTCAGTACCCTTCTTCCAACTCCTTTGACTTTGATTTTTTGAATGAACATTAATGACTTAATGCCATTCAGTGTTCATGTTTTTTATTTATTTATTTCTCCTTAGGTTCGAAAGTGTTAGTGACTTTACCTCAGAGCTAGAAGACAGTGATGATCCAACAGCTTATGTCACCAATCTGACATACTACCACCTGGTCCCATTCGAGACTGATATTCTGGACTGAAGGCTGCTTAGTGATGCAGTCAGCCAGCATCCAGCCGACCTCTTTGTCCATAGGCTCTGCTATCACCGGTGTTGCATCTCTGTGCATATGGCTGTGCAGGCAGGACCAACAGCAGAGAAGCTACATCAAGTGCACTACAAAGCCCTCTGTTGTGTGTGATGGAGACATCTTGTAAGGAGGTAACTGCTTTGCTATTGACAACAAACTCATTTTATGTGAAACCAAGACAGCAGAGGCCTCTTGGAGCTCAAGGAAATCTCTGCTATGTCTGTGGGAATTGCCACTCTGGCACAGCCATTAGAAACTTGTGCTGTAGTATGCTGTCACCCACGCTGCTTGGGTTGCAGTGCAAGTTGAGACTTCCTCTTTTAGGATACCACGAGAAACTTCCCCAGATGGCATCACCACTCTTTTTATGCTATGTAAGCAAGAAGGCAAGCAAACCAGCTGAATTTTGTCAGTTCCCTCTGCAGTTGCTTAATGGAGGTCTTGTGGGTCACTTTTTGCTCAGCTACCGGAGGACTGGTGCCTTACATGAGATGTCAGGAATACCATTGAGTGCCTAGAGGAAACAGAACACGAGTTGACTGCTTTACTTCTTTTAATCATGGGATTTTATATAATTACTGAAGAAGCAACTACTCTTTCCTGGAATAGTAAAGCAGACAGCAGCTGGCATTGCAATGGACTGTGCATGATTTTGGGGTACCTATATGATTTCAGAGATCTGGAAAGCTGATGGGAAAGCTGAGCTGCCCTGCTAAAAAGGGTCAGGGCTATGGCAGGCACTTGGATATGATTTTTTTCATGTGGACTAGCAAATGTGAATGGTGCTTACAGTTGTTTACATCAGAGAGAGAATTCCTCATGCATATTTCTTCCCAGAGGATGGGTAGAAAGGTAATGAGATTTATGTTGTGTTCGGACTGAAAAAGAATGGCAAGCTACGGTGTTTCTACAGCGGTAGAAAAAGCATTCTCTCTGCTGCCAGCCTGGCTCAAGGAGCCTGTCTAGCTTTTCAACATCTGCCCGTGTGGCCGGGAGCAGCCGTCATTGTCATGTAATGCCATGGATTTTAGTGGAGGCAGGACAGTGGAAGCAAGAGCAGGATTGGACCCTGCAGCCTCTTGACTACTGAGTAGTTGCAATGTTGAAATCTCCTCGGGGTGTCTCTCATGAAGCACTCTGAAATCCCAGCTCTCACTGTGAGTGCTCAACATGAACGTGACCTTTCACTGAGTTTTTCGCAATCTGTTTGCAAACATGAATTAGGATGGATCAAAATGGGAAGGAATGCATTTTGAACTTGTTTCTTGGTAAAAGGGCTTGCTTGGTCCTGAAGAAGTTGATACATCTCCCTTCTGCAGACTTTCTATTTCTATCTATAGCATAACAGTCAAACAGAATTTGCTAATGTAAATAATAAATTATTGAGAATCCTAATTCTTTTACACAGTATGTTTTAAAAATATATTTTAATGAAATAAAATATAGCTCACCTTCAGTACATGTCTGCAGCTCAAAACAGTGCTTTCCTCTTTTTTGTTTGTTTATTTGAAGATGCTTTCCCAGCCATGCCAAACCCGCTTTCTTTTTCTAGTAGTTTTGGAAACGTGCCGAGTTTGGACAAGTCTTTCTGTGCTCCATGAGTTGCCCATATTGTAGATATGGTGTATTCCCCTGTCAAACCTCTCCATCTAACTGTTGATTTTGTGTCTAGGTGTATGTGGTTTAATGCCACTAAATTTAGTGGAGGAATTCTGCATTTTCAAGACTGTAAGTGAAATTGAATCTGGCAGTTATTCTTTTTGAAGATAAAGCAGATTCTTTTATGATAGATTTCTGGAAGAGAAATGGATGTTCTCAGTCATACAAAGGCTTTCTGAGTAGCCTCTTGAATTAGAATGGGAAGGTTTCTCTCATTTATTTACTCTCATTTTTAGTTTTAACTCTTATTTCAGTGCTGTTAGTTATGCATGGTGCACTTAAAAATACCTGGGTTAAAAATAAATAGAGAAATATTGCCAATTTTAAAAATGTACAAGCACATTCCTCATATGAGAGCCAGCTAAGATGCATATACAGTAAAGTCTTCATGGAAGGGGGAGTCTAATGCAGGGTAACTAATCTACAAACCAAAGCTGCACCCATTTCACTTGGATTTTTCAAAAGCCACTTTGATCAAGTGTTTTCTAGAGGTGATGTCATGTGATTTATTTCTCTTAGCTGCAATACGCTTATTTGATAAATCAAAGGAATGCAAATGGTCGTGTGTATTACTTTGTCCATAGGGTCAATTAAAAAACCCTTCTTTGGTTAAATCGCTGCAACTTTCTCATATGGATCAGGCCTCTACAACCAGGAGGGGTTCAGAGTATGAATTATGCATATGGTTGATTCATATGTACAGATACCTTACTGTTCACTGGAAAGGAACACATACTTCTTTTTTTTTCTTCTTCTTTTCAACTACCTCTAATTATAGACTAGTAACATCCTGCAAGAAAACAGTCTAAACTCATTGTCCAGGTATCATTCCATCAAATTTTGCCTTTTGATATAGCAGAATGCTCAACTTTCCCAGCTGTGCTTCAGTTTCCATTCTGTTTGGTAGCATGTCATGGCAAAGTTATAAAGAGAGCATCACCAGTATAAGGGCTGATATAGTAATTCTGAATGCTTTAGGTGTGGAAGGGATGTATAGCAACCTGATCTAATTGAAGATGTCCCTGCTCATAGCAGGGAGGTTGGACTAGATGGCCTTTGAAGGTCCCTTCCAACCCAGACTACTCTATGAAGAAAAATGAGTGACACAAGGATTTTATCCCAAAACCCCTCTCTGTAATGCAGAGCTGCTTCCTACAGAAACCATGTTAAGAAGCTGGTCTTTATTTTCTCTGCAACTTTGGCTTCTCCCTTTGGCGCACGGCATGGGATCATGTGTGATACCAGTTCCCATGTTCCCATGTTCCAGTCCTTGCTGTTAGCTGCAGAATAGAGTTGAAGTATCACAGTATCACAGTATGCTAGAGATTGGAAGGGACCTCAAAAGATCATCTAGTCCAATCCCCCTGCCGGAGCAGGGTATGCTGGTATCCAGTGAAGGATCGGAAATTATGTGTCTCTTGGCAGTGATAACGATGACAAAATCATTTGGTTTTTATTTTTCAAGTCAAGTCATGAAATATGCTGGCATTATAGTGTTGCCAAATCTTAAGAGTTAGGGAGGAGAAAGGGTATCACACTATGCTATGTCTTGTCAACCTGTTTTTTTGCAGGTTTTTTGTTATAGCAAATGCTTTTCAAAAGCTCAGCCTTGAATTCTGAGGCCATTCTTTATAGCAGCAACAATCTGTAGCTCAGCATCAAACTCTTTAAATAAAAAAAGTTTCCTGATTGCTTCCTATAATAATGCCCATTCCTGTTCCAGTCAGCTATCTCTGAATTCCCTTCCCCACACATACACAAATTATTCCAGCTTACGTATTGGTCAGCTTTTGACAGTGTAATTGCTGCCTTATGGAAATATTCACACCCTGAAGTGCAGTTCCCAAGTTTTATAGCACACAGAACATTCCTGTTTTCAGTCTTGTGAGGTAATTTCTACTTGCTCTAAAACCAATCCCATTATAATTAACGTTGTTAGTCATACATACGTACATTGGGGGTTTAGGTAAGATAAAAATACCAAGGTAATAGTCTACATAATACATCTAGATTTCATAAATGGAGAATCTGTATTCAGATTCTTGCTAAAAGTCCATAGCAAGCAGTGAAGATGTGCAAGTTCCCTGGATGCATTGACAGTTGGCTTGTATGAATTCACTTTCTTGGGGGTTCCCAATCCGCATTATCATGTATTCCTTACAATTCATGTATGTAAGCCCACCATGCTCTGGTGAGATAGAGGACAGCTTAAACTTTTGTATCACAGAAGGGGATATGGAACACCAAGCAGTGTCCAAGATAGGATTTTGCAGTGCTTAGTTTTTGTCCTAGCAGGACATCTAACAGGCACAGGACGGGAGCTGCTACAGAGGTTTAGGTTGTTGTTCTTCACTTGAAAGGGAACCTGCTCAGGTAAGGGTTTAGAGAAAAGCTCCTTATTCTCTAAGGGTGCTGTGTCAAACCTTGCCTAGTAGTAAAATCCTTTTTCTGATGGCTTGTGGGGCTACTACCTATCTGAACTGAAGAGCTGGCTGGTACCAGGCTAATACTCAGCTGCAGGAGGGCCCACTACTGCTAGAGAGGACTGGATTAGAACCCCGCTCCTGCCTTGGCTGCAGAGAAGCCATCAACACCCATCTTCTAGTCCTGAAATGCTGCTAAACAATTCTCTGAAACTTTCCAATAGAAATGACAGCTGATATACTGGCAAGAAAAAAAACCCAAATGGGAACACTGAGTCCTGATTAAAAGCATCCCAGCATCAGCTTTGTGTGTGTTTTCGAAGTGAACTTCAAAAAATAGAGGATTCTTCTCTAAAACATTTTACAGCATTTGTTGGAGCTCCATGTAAGACCTTGCATGTTCCTCTGGCACAGAAACTTCTGACACAAGCTAGCAAAAGTCAGTACTTGGTCACAGTTGCAATGTGTGTGTTTATAAGGTCTGTGAGCCTCCTTTGGCTCCCCTGAAACTCATGGGAGGCTCTCAGCTCCTCAGAGGCACTGGTCCTTTTTGTGTCATGACTTTGAAGTGCCTCCAGCATCCAGGAGGTGCTCCAAGCAGCTGTAGTTATTTCCATTTGAAGTTAGCTTCATTTAGCATTGTAGTTCAGTTTGGAAACCATCTGCAAGTAATCACAACCTCTTGTGTAGCTGTATCACCTTGTACCATGCAGGCTGGAGATAGAAATAATTACATGTACCAGAAGCCAATTTTGTTACGTAAAATGAAAAAAAAAGAAAGAAACCATCAGCAAAACAACCATTGTGCATTATTTTCCCTTGTAGCTATTAAAACTGAGTTGAACAGACTCCATGACTCCTGAATGAACATACGCTCTTTTCAAAACAGCAGCTTCCTGAATTTTGCCAAGTTCCGTTTTGTCTCCTGGGACCTGGCCTCAGCAGTTGAGTGCAGTGCTGCCACTGCGGTATTCAGCTATCTTGAAGTGACCTTCAGACAGAAAAGCAAGCAGTGGGTGTATGCGGAGGAGGGGGCAGGAGGCATAGGGATGGCTTGTAAGGAGAAGGATGAAGAAATAAGGGAAGGATTATAGTGCAGATGGATGAGATGTCCAGGGACAGTTTCAGTTGTGAAGCTGCAATAAGACATCTTTGTCAGAGCTAGGGTGGGCTTGCGTGCACTTGTATTGGTAGCGTCTGGGCATTGAGTCAGGCTGTTCCTCACGTTGCAAGGAATGGTACAAGCCTTAGTTGATTTTGTTGAAAGCAGGAGATGTCTGTGTCTGATGAGGAGCCCTTGTATAAAACAAGTGTGCTGAACTTTCTGGAAAGACATTTTGCAGAGGAAAGAGATTATTGTGATTGCCCCTTATAAAGCACTGCACAGCTAATGGGAAAGGTTTAGCAATCCAGATTCTGTTTCAGTTAGTTCCCCATGCACCTCACACTGCATGCTTCATTTCCCTATTTGTAGGACTAAAAATTCACTTGGCTGCAGGTGAGGGTCGTGAGAGCCATAACAGGTTTTGATTGCCCTCACTGTCCTGGGAACCTACCCAAATCCTTTTACTAGGGGCTCTACTTCAGCTCAGCCCAGGGAGTTTAGCTCTTTTTAAGATGGGCTACAAGAATGGCTGCCCTTAGTCCTGCTCCTGAGTTGTTGTGTGCGTTTCCTAGGCTGCCCTCTGGTGTGATGTCTGTGTTGCCTGACACTTGTTGGATGACTGCTGGGAGTTGTTGCTGTTACTACCCTGCTCCACTCACAGTGAGTTCTCCTGTTTTGCTTATTGTGATAAACCTCGTCTTCACAAACGTTTCCTGACATGAGCGTGAACTTTCCTGTTATAGGGAAGTACTTCCCAGAAATGCCTAAAGAGGCTGTGTGCCTGGGACTATGTTCTTTTGTGCAGTACATGAGTTAATAATACAGTTAGCTTGTTCTGGAGCATATAATAATATAGTTAGCTTGTTCTGGAGGGTATAGATGCTTGATGGAAACACTGATGCGACACTGATATTAGTGATGAATTAATGATGTTCTGGGTTTTAGAGTAAAATTACAAAAATCTATTCACATGTGACTTCCAGAAATAATTAGTTTACAGGCTTTGGTGACTGGAAGTTTTGCTTGTGTTTCTCTTCTCATTTCAGCCTGTGTTGGTATAAACTTTATCAAGCTGCAAGTAACTTGGAATGGCTTATTGGCATCCTCTCTCTGTAGAGTGAGTATATGTCCAATCCAGTAAACAAGCTCGCATTATAGCAATCACAAATTTATACCCATACTGGCCATATACTCTGTGGCTCCAGGTGATCAATAAGATCATTGCAGAAGGAAGGGTGGAGGTGACCCCTGAAAGGTGGCCCATAAAGGCTAGGTCTTTGATCAGTGGGACACCAGTATGGGGTCTGCGCAATCACTGCTGGTGCTGGTCACGTTGAATGTGCAAGCAATGCACTTCTCGGAAGGAACAATTTTGATCTTCTTTCCACTTAATCACTGCTGAAGTGCAAATGGGAAAATATCATAATACCCTGGGGTTTGGTTGTGAACAGGTTAAGGGGGCTGGGAGTTCTGCTTCCCAAGTTTAGGAGACAATAGAGATGTTTAACCAATATGTACTGAAATGGCAAAACTGCAGTTTCTAGGCTGTAAGGAGACTCGTTATCTGTCTCCTTTGTGCTTAATAACCTGAAAAATGATGAAGGAGGCAAGCCAGCTGTGGAGGATGGGTGATTAAATACATGGCTGCTAATGGGCATAAGCAGATGTTAGAGAAGCAGGAGCAAGAATGCCAGTCGAGGGATATAGTAACAGGTACTATAGAGACATAAAATGAACTTACTGGGGTTTGGCTTAAAGTGTCTGAAGCATTTACATGTAAAACAGACATTACTTTCCATAAAGCTACAGTGCCAGGCAGAATTGTTATGAAGCAAGCAACAAAGCACAGAAATACAAAGCTCAGTGAGTTAGAAGAGTTGCAGAGCAGCTGTGTGACCTAAATGGAAAGGATGGAACTATCACTTTTGGCAGCTCTGAGATTGCAGATCCAGATTCAGAGTTTTAGCCTAATCATGTATCGGGCACTGTAGAGCCTTCTAGGAGAATAGGATTTTTCACCAGTAGAGTGCTCCAGGTTAATGAGGGAAGCAGGATGTGATTAGAACTTAATGTGCAAGTTTATGAGGCATGTAAATGGTGATCCATCAATAGCTGTGAGGGAAGATTGGTATCTTTTTGTATTTTATATGCAGTTACACACTTTCAATCGGGAACCTCCCCTGACACATTTAATTAGCCTGAGGAGGGAAAATATGCTCCCTGTGTACAGTACTGTTATTCTGGTTGGCGAAGCAGCCTTCAACATAACACACATCAAATGGGACTCCAGGCTGCTGTGCTAAAAATAGCTGCTTACCATTTAGGACTGCAGCAGCTACAACCTAGAAACATAGGCACCAATAGCACTTATGGATGTTAAATTCTTGGTTAAAGGAGATGCATGTGGCGTGCATTTGGAAGACGTATTACTGTGAGCAATTAAAACCTGTAGTGGGCTTTCTAGAGCATAAGAATAAGTTCCCCAGGTTGGAAAAGCCATCTTCCCACCTAGCTGTTACCACATTTCAAAAAGTGGTGAAACAGAGTTTCTGCTTAGATCAGGACTTGAAATATCTCTGCTCTGCACACTCCTGCGTGGTATTTAGACAACCAAGCTATTCCTAAATATACCACTTATAAATTACCACAAGGCTTGTAGCACCATATTGTACTCCGTCACCCAATGTATGTGCGCTGCCTGCCATTGCAGATTTAAGGTAAGGCTTGTTTGTCTCTCACTTTAGATCTAGCACAATTTAAACCTTTTGAATGGCAAGGGCCTGAGAGAAAGGATTTGACATGCAGTGAACAGCAGTGACTCCTTAGAGCCTTTTCCTTTGACTATGATTTAACTTTATGTAGTAAATATTAAGCCCTTTTTTAATAGGATTCCAAGTCCTTGTTCCATTTAATCTGTAGAGCTGAGGAGTGTATTGTGATCCATTGCCATTACTAGTATAAAGAAACTTTCCTATACTCAAGGTAGATGCTATATGGAATAATTCCCTTTTCAGAAGCCCAGTTGAGACACACAAATGTAGGACTAATATTAAATGTTGAAGTGAGGAAATTACCATGTTTGTTTTCATTTTATCTTTTTACTGCCATTGCTACCTAATCTTACAGATAACACTGGAATCTGATTTGAGAGCTAAGAATCAATAGATATGAATGTAGGTATGCCAAGTTTTTGTAAGCAAAATTTGTAGGACTTCTGTTTTATTAAGAGAAAATTATGTGAACGGGGGAGAGTGTGTGAAGCTTTTAGGTACGGACTTCCTTCATAAGCTTTACTGTGTTTCTAGAAATAAGTGCTAATCACTTTACCAGCTGCGTCTATTGGTTTAAAAGAAAACAACCCACAAATGTTATTTCAGCTTCCAGTCCTGGTTTTAGATGTATTCCTATGCTATTATGGCAAAGCTTTCTTTTTAAAGCAATTTTCACCCTCAACAGTTTCATTATAATAAGACATATTCTAATTTTTCATATATTTTTCCTGCCAGATATTTGTATCCTTGTTTCTTCTTCCTGCTTCTCTCTTGTTACTTAACCACTAAGAAAGGTGCAACAAAAGAGGGATGAAGAGAATGGAAAAAGCATGCCCATTAAAACGTAGAACACTGTAAAACTGCCTTAGTTTTCTTAAATAAAATCAGGAAAAGTGACAAGTTATCTTAATATCACAGGAGGGGTTTATGCCAAGAAAACCTGGTATTCTGACCTCCTGGCTTTCCAAGGTGCTCTCCCTGTTTCTACCCCCTTTGTAGAAGTTTGTTTACTGCTTCCTGAAACCTGACTATAGAGCTCAGACTGAGTTGTATGTCCAGCTTTCTGTGCCTCTATGTGTACAAGGCTAGGCACCGATCAACTACAGCATAGCTTTAGCAGGGACGAAGGGAAAGGGCTTAATACCCTGAAAGGAGCACAGGCCCCTGTAAGGCTTCTCCCAGCTCTGTTCTAGCAGTCAGGTCCAATGTCACACAGCTGTGCCTTGTCAGAGCTAGCCTTGAGCAATGGTTATAAAGGCCCTAGGTTGGGGAGAAGAGGCTGCAGGAACTAATGCCAAGAATAGGAAGTCCACCAGAAATTTGTTTGGGTGATCTGATTAACCATGTGGATAGGACAACTGAAGGAAGTATAATTCTTTGTGTCTGCTTGCTGTAGAAGAAGCTGAGGAGATTCCCTATGCCATTTTTTTTAGCAGTGATTCAGCAAATGATCAGCCTAAAGCTGGGAGTGATTATGAAATGGGTTGAGGTACGAATAAAATGAAAATTAACTGATTTCCAGGGCTGGTGCTAATCACCTGAGTGACTGGAGGAGCTCAAGGGTATGCTGAAGAACGACCTGCTGAATTTGGGAGATGGATACTAAGACAGCAGGTGAAATTCAGTGCAGGTATATGCAACTCCTCAGTAAAAGTAATCTGGTCTTGCATATCATATTCTGAGCTATGACTTCATTATTGTCATTGAAGAGTGAGACTGCAGGTTTATGGTAGTTCCATGAGACCAACAGTTTAGCACTCAGTAACCATAAAAATAAATAAAGAGGAAATATTATTACTTTGTGGGAGAATACTAGAAATAATAAAGCCACTGCATGACTCCAAGGTTCACTCCCCCCATGAAGTTCTGGATCTTTCATCTGAAGATGTATTACAGCAGGAGAAAGTCTGAAGAAAGGCAATATATGTAAGTAAAGGTAGGAAAGATGATCTGTTCAAGGAACAGTTTAGTAGGCTGAACTTTACATTATCCTTTTCCAAGGATGGGTGGATGATGTAATAGAGATCTACAAAATCATGGGTGACATGGGAGGTATGAATAGTGATTGACTGTTTATTTCCTCTGGCATGACAACAGAGGGCCATCAAGTGACACTGGAAGGTAGATTCAATGCAACCAGGAGGTGGTTGTTCATGTGGAGTGAATGAGACCTGTTGTGCTGCCTGCCAAATGATGGTTTGGAAAGGAGCCTGGAAAAGTGCTTAGAATAGATTTTCTTTGCGGTTTATTATCTAGACAAACCACAGCAGCCTCGGAGTCCCCTTAGGCTGGGGAGAGTTGGAGTTGAGGGTAGTATTAGGATGAAAGTACCTCCTCAGTGTTACTTACTCTTCCTCATTTACAGGCATTGTCAGAGGCAGAAAACTGAGCTAGGTGGACTAAGGTCTGCTCAGATACTACTGTTCCTTTGTTTTTATGATTTTACACAAGAGTATACATTTAAATTTTTACTTTAAAAGACAAAATTTTTTATTTTTTTTTTTTTAATTCAAAGTGCCTGTCCTACATGATGCAAGGTTGTCATATACTGCTATGGCAATTCAGTATTGAGTCCTTTGATCTGCAAAATGTTCAGAAAAGCTTTGACGCTGCATATGTGCAAGTCTTCACAGAGTACAGCTGTGATCCTAAAGAAAAGCAGTAGATGAAGTCCTCTTTTGTTGTTCAGTGAGGAAGGGAAGCAGCCCAAGAGTTGACCCTCCAGCATCAAGAAACTGATTTTCTCCTGTCCTGCGTATTCCCCAAGCCATTGGGAATGCTCCTGTGAAGATAAGGTGTTGTCTTGCTCTTTGTGTACAACCTTCTTAAAATGCTTGTTTCTTTCCGTCCTTCTGCTTTTGTGTTTTGAAGGAATTTGCCATGAGCAGT